TTGAGGAGGGTGTTTGGAGGAGACACTTTTAACACCTCAGGTAACTGCAAACAGTGCCTGCAGTTGCATGTATGCCAATGAAAACTATTCCTTCCTAATACTGGGAAATCCAAAATGAGGTAGGAAGCTGCATCTGAATCATGTAGGAACTAGGAACAAGGTGGTTATGTCCAATGGGATGAACATAGACTGGCAAGAATTCTCTCAGAATAATCCAAAAATGAATTTGCTGGATGCCTTACAGGTGCCCCAGGCATGGATCTGAGCATTGCAAGTGCAATGAAAAAGGGACCAACAAAGAGTGTGCACATTCCAGGATAAAAACTTGCAAGTTTCATTTTGGATGTGTCCAAACTGAACTCTTACAACATTTATTTTAAATAAATGAAATATGAAAATACTATTAATTTATTTGTATATAACAGCAACACTTTAATATTCAGTCAAGGAACCATGAAAACTGGAAACTCACCACTTACATTAAGAACTCGCCCATTACAACTCAGTACTTCAATGATAAGATGACAAATTCTCTGCGGGACGTGGAAATGCTTGTATGATTATGGTGTGGCTCTTCGGTGAGCGGAAGCAAAGTAGGATATAGGACTTGTGCCTTGGGCTCTCGCTATTTCTAGGGCATGAAACTTCAGGAGTGTCAGGCACGTAACAAAAGCATGAGGTGTTGGCTTGAATTCAACTGGATTAATATCTGCCTGGGGTTCAGAGTCAAAACGTGTTAGCTTTAGTGAGGATCAACAGAAGGGATCCATCACCCTGGAACACTATTAACACGGGCATTTGGGCAGAACATTCTGCTGTTTAACTAGCACCAGGTGAGTCAGACTCCATTACAAATTTCTTTGTCATGAGCTGCAAATACATTTAAGAACTATTTGAGTGCTACAAAGTATTTAATGTTAAAGCTAATGTTGAGCACAACCTAATTATCCCACAGTAACAGTATTCTCACTAGTGATACCACAACAGTAACACAAAGGCTAAAGTTTGACCCAAATTTTAAAATTTTAGATAGCTTTTTAAATTGCCACACCTCACTAAAATACTTATGCTGAATATTGCCCATGTCTACTTTTAGACACGTTGTTAGAGCTGTTAATATCAGCAATCAAGAACCTCAAAAAAATACAGAAGGGCATTACTGAATCATTTAAAAAAATACTTATTTATAATTAAAGTTTTGTCAAAAACTATTATGATCTTTTATAGCTGCAGATAATGAAAATAGTCAAGAATTTTACAGTACTGAAGTGGAAGACTGAAAAGATTTCATTCTTATTTGTTTAGATTGTGGAAGTATTCTTAATAAGTACAATATGGCTAGTGTTAAGTCTAAAAGCTTGACAATACCCCTTTGGTTAGGTAAGCTACCACGACAGGTTTCCATGTACAGAACCTGTACACAAAAGGAAACACAGCAAAAATTAAGAAATTCAATAATCATTCTAGTTACGTATGTAAAAATCCATAGACATACAGTGAAAAAATACTGCAAAGCTATGTCAACACAAAGAAGTAAAATTCTGTCACTGTATCAATTACTGCACTGCAGCTTTTTTTTGTTTGTTTGTTTTTGGGTTTTTTTTGTGGAAAAAAGCCCCTTTTTTAATGTAGAAAAATCCTTATCTTGGTATGTGCTGTTGCCAGTCATGTGGTTCACCTTGGTAAAACTGCAGCTGCTACCGTGCACTGATTACAGCTGCAATCTCGCGTTTTCTGCTTCATGCGGCTGAGTATCACGAGCCCATATCACACATACAGTTAAGAGGAATTTGTTTCCCCAAAATGAACACTAACACCTTTTTCTTTTGCAGCAAGTAATCTGAATGTTTGTGATAGGCAAAACAAAACTAGATATTACTCTGGATGGTACAGAAGGGGAAAATTCAACTCCTAACTAATGAGTATCTTATTCAATTTATTCAATAATCTATAGTTAACTTTATAAGTGTATATTATAGCCAACACATCCCACCAAGAAGCATGTATGCCTTTTGGCATATCACACAATATACTAATGGTCCAAATCTCTCAACTAAGACAACTGTAGACTTCAGGGTTCCGTTGTTTAATTAAAATTTCTTTCTGGTAACTTTATTCTAATAAATACCAAGCAAATTGAAATAAAAAACTTCCTTTGCAATTGGGAAAGCCACACAACCAGGAAACAATTTGTTTATGAACAAGAAAATATTTGTATTACCTATTAAAAATAAGATGCTTTAATAGAATTGACATCAGAAATGGCTAACAGACAACGTTGTTTTAGATGGCATCTCTTCAAAATTCTTTTTTCTATAATTTGGGAGTTTCCTTGCAAAATATTTTCAGGTCTTTCTACTAGTAACATGTGACATGTCATACAACCCCTCTATTCTTAAAGTCTGAATCTCCCAGTATAAAACCTGCTCCTGGCCCTGAGAAATACATTTTTCATTGTTTGCTACAAAAAATGTCCTGCTTCCAGAGCTGCAGAGGAGTGACTTCTGCTTTTTTCTACTTTTCCCTAGTTTCACAATACCTATCTTAGCCCAAGAGGTGGCTTTTGTACAGTGAAGAAAACACCATTAACAGTGAAAACAAAAAGGTGCTAAAATACTTCTGTTCAGAAAAATTCCAGTGGTGAAACAGTAAAACAGCATTTCCCATAGGAACAATTACTAATTAGATTCTGAGGAGTTATTAATCATTTCAGTTTAATTTTTTTTTGTACAGGAGAATATTTTGGAATACTGTTACTATTCCTCACAAATTGAATAACATATTAGAATTCTGCAAGCTAGTTTCATAAAAACAGCCTCCTACCATAAGTTAAAATTGTAAAAGAAAAGAAACATAATAAAAAGAAAGATTTACTTACTGAGGAACACCTTTTTTAGATAAATACGTATGAAAACACTGCAGGGTTTAATAGTCCCCTAAAAAGTTTAGCTGTTTTAGATTTTTTTCTGTTTGAAAATATGCTGCTTTTCTTACTCTCCAGGAAGGCAAACTGCTTATGAAAGGCTGTGGCAACACAGTTGAAGCAAATGCTTCTGAAAGCTTTCAATAGCATTTTTTTTTGATTTACAAAATGTGAAAACATCTTTCAATTAGTAAAAAAAATAGTCTAATATACAAACATTTTTTAAAAAATTCATTTGTGAAGGAATGTAGCGTAATTAACCCATACTCATACCCACTCACTCCTCAGATACCGGTAGCTATCTCCTTTTGACACAGACCTCTCTATATTAACCCAGAGAAATGCATACATGGCCAGTTAGCCCAAGCAGAATAGTCATTCAGCTTTCCCCAAATTTAAACTATCATAAATTACCATTTGGACAGCATTAGAAAGAAATTGAAGCATACAAGGAACAAACTATAGTTTCTTTTTATATCAAAATGTACTCTTGAAAATGTGTTTGGCACAGTGCTAAATCATATAGTTAATACTAAATATTGCAGGATACAACAAAACCCTGGAGTTAACTTGTGTTTACACCCTTTAAGGGATAAAAATAAAAATATACCAATTATTCAGAAGTCAGCCTATACAAACTGTATAAACAATATTTTATGCCTTGTTTTGAAAACCACTGATATAGTAAATTTTACATAAAAGACTGCAAAATAATATAAATGGATTTAAACAGATCTTTACAGTAAGAAATTCAAATGGAAACAGACAAGTAACAAAGAGAAGTAAAAAAATTTATTGCAGTATTCATTCCACCAGATTTGCTGGGGATCCCTTTTCTTGTATTATTTCAGGGTGACCTAATACATCAAAATCTACATTTACAAAAACTCCTCCTGCAGATAGGTCATAGATACTGCATGCTTTTTTTTTTTTTTTCTTTTTTTTTCCCCCTATTTTTCTTTTTTCTTCAACAGAATAAATTATATATCCAGGAGATTCTGCCATTTTACAGCCTGGAAAAACAATGCTTCCCTGGAAACTGGGCTAAGCTAAAGAAAGCCATCCGCTGCTAGGTTAAACTCCAAGAACACTTTATTAAGAACATTAACAGACTAATTTCCAACATTCACTTGTTTATTTTTTTTTTAAACAGAAAGTTTTTTTTTTTTCAAGATATAAACAATTTTTTTGTTAAACTATAATACAGTGGGAGTAAAAATGAACTGAGAAGTTTCTGCTGCACAACAGCGAAGGAAGCTCCCACATAAATGTTTACCAAACATTTCCTTCTTTTTTTCCCGCGTCCCAGGTTCCATTCTTACTCTTCATTTAACTGATTTTTTTTTTTTTGCCAGAAAGTTGATATTTCAAGTTTTTCTGTTATTTCAATTCATGTAAATTTGGCTGCATGTACAAATTCATTAGCTGGAAGTTCCATCCTTGGCGGCATACAGCGATCGTAAAGTCTGCACAACTTTATTAGTCAACTTATTAGCACTCGTTAGAGCAATTTTTTTGTAAATAATGTCTGACTCTTTAATAGTGTCTACCCAAGGCACCAGTTTGCGGCCATCACGGCGCTTAGCCTCAGTCCAGGAGCCACTGTAGGAGCCTGCCATCCACTGAACACTGAAGCCATTGCTGGTTTTCTGTACTACTCTTGCAATTTGTGGTCGGTCTTTGTACTTTGGACAGCAAATAGCGATGACATCCATGACATCAACACTTTCATTCATCTGTGCTGCCAACTCCGTAGAGTCTGAATTTCGTTTTGACCTTCTCAATGACTAAAACATTGGGGGGAAAAAAGACCAAGTGTTACACAAAAGAACTTTAGTGAAATTATTGCTTTTATTGCTTTTAATCCCTTGACGCCGGGAGTTGGGATTTCCCGGCACACATTCCATTGCCGGCAATGAGACGCACCGCGACCGCCAGCGCCAAGGGGTTAACATATCCTTGTAAAACCACATACTCTTAATTTGTACCCGTGTCTTTATCTCTTATTGATATATAAAATTATATATACACAAGAATCATAAAGCTACATAAAAACTTGGCAACAATAAAAAGGATAACACACAGTACATTCCAAAGGAAAATTAATAACTTTTTATACGGGATAAATCTCATTTGCTAGTTCATTTTTTTTTTTTTATTGTCTTTTCTGTTAAACTTTCTACAAAAGTTGTATAAATGGTTAAGTAGAGAATCTCTATCTACAAAATGCTTTCTTTTCATGTGGATTACATTACTTGGTGTACATTTAATATAATAGACTGACATTTATAAGCACATAAAAATCATTTTACGTAATACGCTGCGAAATACGTTGACTCCTCCTCCGCCTCACCCCTGAAGTGCCTCCTCCTCTATCCTCCCCATCACTTTCATCGTCCTCTGTCTCAGCTGCATTGTTTTTAGGGCTGCCTCCTCCAAGCAGCGAGGTAATTGCTTTGTTCCGAGCATTTGTGCTAGCTGACACCTCTCCATCTTCTTCCTCTTCATCAGGATCCAAATGTTCCATAAGGAGCTTGAACTATTAAAAAAACAGATTAGTCCAAATGGTAACTTTAAATATTTATATCACACTACATTATATAAAACATAAATGGAAAGGTAAAGAAACAGGGTAAAACAAATGGCAAACAACTACAAACTTGAATAGCTTATGTTTTGTTCTACAAAGTTTTTACTTTCCTCTCTTTTTTTTAGTAGATACGTAAAAGCTTTCTTCCTGTGTTTCCAAAATTTTAAGTTTTCTCTAATTGATACTTAAAGATGGGGGAGGGGACCATAAATACACTGGAATTAGTCTCTGTTCCTCTGATGGAAACAATCAAGGATGAAGTGAACAAGTTATATGGGAAAGGTACACAAGATTGATATGAGAAATTAGAAAATACTCCATAAGGATGAATATCTTTTAGTTGAAATTAATTTTCATTGTGTTTAAACTTATTAGAAGTCTTTGAAAGACAGTTCTGATAAGCATCCTGAAAGGAAGTGGTGAGTCATCAGTATATCGCATAAGATTACCAGGAACTTGATATTTTCAAATGTTCATGCAATACATCAGCATCTACATTCAAGTTTATACCTAGTGTGTTACCTAGTTTGAAAGGATTATGGATTTTCTGCAGAGCAACTTTACTTACATCTAAGTACTGTTTTACTATACTCCTCTTCACTTCTTCAGTGATCTTGGAATTAGCCATATCACTCCGCAGAAAATCCAGAGTTTGTTTTGGATGGAAATGCACTCCTGTCTTCCTGTTTATCGCTTTATCATAAACTTTTGCAGATTCAGATGGAGAATACTTCTGAATTTTACTGTTTAAAAAAACAAAAGGGAAGAGCTTCTAAGGAAAGCCCAAAGTAATAGAAAGGAAAAGATTTTAAAATGTTCAACATTTAAAAATC